GGGGGGGCTGGTGGGGGTCCCCTGGGGGGGCCCCTCAGAGCCCTTACCCTTGGGACCGAGCATGGGGAGCCAGAAAGATGGTGAAAACTATAGTTTGAGCCAGCTGGAGGCCAGGGTGTCTAACAAAATAATGGGAGGCGTGCCTGGCCCTCGATATGCATCATTTCTCTGACTCCCGTCAAGGGAACGTTCGATTAGATGCTCAGCAAGAATGTATAAACATCTCTGTGGGACGAGGATTAGCCGGCCTCCCATTGTAGAAATGAGGAAACAGAGGGTCAGCCAGGTGAAGTCACCTGCCCAAGGTCACCCAGCCAGGAAGTAGCAGAGCCAGGAGTCTGACTCCGGACACCGCCCATGGCCTGGCTGGCCCTGTCCACCAGGTAGACATGGCCTAGCTGTGACACAGGCCTCTCTTGCTTATGCGGATAAGGATCTTTGGCTATTGTCCCACCCTCCCAGGCCTCCTGGGTCGAATGAAGGACACTCAGCCTTCCCTGTGGCACGAAAGTGCCTCGGTTATTTCAGAAGCCACGTGCCATTTATACTGGGAAGAGCTGGGCACAGCAGGCTGTGTATCTCTGCCCAGGGGGCACATATGTCCCCGGTCCCTCTCCCAACAATGGGGGACCTCTGAGACCTGACCCAGGCACTACGCAGGTGTGTCTCTTTTCCTGTGTACTGGCAGTGCCACCCTGTCCCTGCCCAGGTGAGTGAGCCCAGCTGGCATCGCTGGGCACCCGTCTCTCTTGCTCTTCCTTAATATATTATAAAGGAGATAGTGAGAGGCAGCCACGTGAGCCTTTGAGGATTCAGTGTCCCCACAGGGCCAGCCAGTCACGACCTCAGTGTGGCCATGTCACAGGAAGCTGGAGATGGAATTTCTGCAGGGTCCACTTCATTTGTGTAGTTGATGGGGTGTTTTTCTTCAGCTGCCCCATCTATTGGCGAGGACACAGCATCCGGATGAGGCCCCAGAGCTGCCACGGGGAATGTGAGCCTGCTGTCCTTGTGGGTGCATATTACAAGGTCCTGCTACACGCCAGGCATTTGTGGCCTGCCCTGGCCCTTTAAGAACCTGTGGGCTGCGTCAGAGGCCTCACGGTTGGTATGATGCCTCCCGTCCTTGGGGTTTTCACCCAGGGTTTCAGCCACCGGCCCCTTGGATGGCCTCCAAGATGGTGATAGCTGCCCGCCCCAAGATTCTACTGCAGCTAATACATAGAGACAAGCCTGGAGAACCAGCAGCAAGCATCCGGGAGCAGGTGCTAGAGGTACCAGCCCAGAAAGAGAGTTAAGTGTGGGGTGGGGCGGGGGCAGAGGGAATTGGGCGGGTGACAGGGATCTCGAGGCCAGATACAGCAGAGGCTGCCAACCTCTGCTCGTTGTAGAAACAGCCCCTCCTGGGCACGAGCGCTGGTTTGGGGCTCCCCCGGGGTGGAAGGAAATTCTGCTGTGCCTCAGAGGTTGTACAGCACCATGAGGAGCAGCAGTGT